GAGTGAGAGATGAAGAGGGTTAGGACATCTGCAGCCTGATAGCTACCGGGGAGGACGCCATCGTGTTTACAGGGTGACTTTTTATGTCTGTCTCTGTGTATATACATGTTGTATTCTTCCTCTGCTTTCCTGGGACTGATGCTGAGCCTGGCTTTCTGTGTTCTGAGCCTAACTTTCTGTGTTCTGAGCCTGGCTATTCTGCTACACGAGCGCCCTGGGCTGATCCCAGACCAGTGTCTCTGCTGGCTGCCACTGACAGCTGCTCACAGCACAGGCCGCCCTGACTGATGAGCGGTCAGACAGCCTCCCACAGTCACCCATGAAGGGGTCTCCATTATGGGAAGCAGCCATTCTGAAGGAATGGCTCATGTCACATGTTTCAAGCACCTTACAGTGCGCTCACAAGGCAGTGTCCAAGCTGGCTCTCACAATCCCCAATTACCCCCGCCTAACCTCGAACCCATGCCGTTCCAGTGCCTTTTGGCTGGATGGGACGCGTCACGAGCCAGGGTCTGAAGAATTCAAACAAGCCCCAGATGAATCGTTTAGCTCAGATGTTTTAAGAACCATGCGCTCCGCCTGAGAATCCCGAGCATCACAAACAATCCAGGGCTGCGTTTTCCCTGGGCTGTACATCTCATGGATAAACCAGCACCACCTGTAGGTTAGGCCTGGGCCAAAGGCACTACATTTCCCATACTGCCTTCTGTTGCTGGCTGGCTGGCACTGGGCTGTTCCATTTTCTGTTTCTAGGGGGATTCCTCTCTCTGGCTCTCTATCCTCAAAAAAAGGATGTGGTGATTTTATCTGCAGCATGTAACATGCAAATTCAGGTTTTGGGAGGGGGAGTAGTCAGGTTTTAATAAGTGAAAATACTGCCACCCCAGTCACCCACTACCACCCCAACAGAAGTGGTTTCTCCCTTTGTGTAAGACACATATTCACATCATTCTCTGATTTTTACCTACAATGCCTATCTGCTGTCTCCAGAGCCTGCTCACATGGCTGCAGGTGGTGGGGGCCTGCCAGTTAGCCCGATGCAGCAGCCAGTGGTGAGACCCAGTGCACTTTGCTCCTCGGGGCTCTCGAAGTCACATACACAGTGACAGTAATGGCTGGATTAAAGTGTCACTGTTAGGATCATATTCTCACTGCTGTTCTGTGATCCTCATCACCTTTCATAATGAAATATTGATCTGTTTTCCCGGACAGTAACAGCCTGCGTTAGTCTTCACGGTGATCAATTGTTGGAGCGTTAATTAGTCTCTGGGTCACATAGGCACAGCAGCTAAGGAATTAGCCTTGTCATCTCAATGGTTACAGGTTCTAATCCCAATTGGGGGGTTTGTTGTTGTACCGTATCACAAAATTCTTTCATGATAAAACCAAGATAAAGGGCAGCAAGACAGCAACCATGTGTCCCTCACACCACTGCACATGTCACTGCACACACCACTGCACATGCCCCCAGGTGCTCATTAATGGGTGTCTCGTTATCAGTGAGACACAACAGTGGGAAGAGAGGCCTTTTCTATAGGTACCTGTCCTTCATCCCTAACACGTCTGAATCATCTCATCTTTCCTGTAGATAGAGACAGTGATCTGGGGAACTCTGAAATGAGACTAAAAATCTGCAGCTTCCGGAAGATCGGAAGATTAAAGCTAGGATGAAGCCCATTAATCATCCCCCCCCCCCAGTTCTCTCCCCCCCCCCCCCCCCCCCTCCCCCCCCCCCCCCCCCCATTCTTTCAACAGGCACTTTTAATCTGACAGCCGTCCCCAAAAGCAGATGTAAGCTGTCAGGTCAAACAAAGCGGAGCAACAGCAGCACGTTTCAGCTCAGCCAGCCCAGCAAACAGACCATGGCCCGAGGGGGTCGGAGTGGGGGGGCAGTCTGGAGGAGAACAGAGAAGTTTGTCTGTAGAACTTCTTAGGGTTCAGATCCAGTAACGTATTGTTGGGTTAGTTTTGGCCCTGTGGTTGTCTCACAGTTTTGTATTTATCAAATTATTAATTTACAAATAACATTCATGCATGACATGTAAGAAAACATGCAGCCAGCAGGGACAGCTGACTGCTCGATCCCCTGCGCAGTCGTCATGGATGTGGAGTGAAGTCGTTCACTCTTTGTTTTCAGGAGCACCTCTGACGTCGAGGTTGTGAGCAGCATCGTGACCCCAACCCTAAGCCATGTAAGCACATGATCTGCTCATGGGAATTGTTTTTCTGCTGGAGGAGAAGACCATTGAGCACTGGTCATCACTGCACTGTCCTCGTTTCGCCACTGTCCTATTGCACTGTCCTGCAGTGTCTGCATGTTTGCACACATGCACTTTGTCAGCTTTTGTAGTCCTGTGTTTTATGTAGCACTATGATTGTTTCATTTCACTGTCCTGAACTAACTACACATGGGTGAAATGACAATAAAATTCCACTTGACTTGACTTGACCACCCTTATGGCCATCTGAAAGGAGATCACTGGTCTGCCAATCAAAAGCTAAGATGTCTTGTGTGCCATCAGTCCGGTGAACTGAATCTCAGTCCGAAAACTCAGACTGACTCCGATGCTGGCGGTGGCTGTGAGGGGATCTGTCCTATGATTGGCTTAGAAACCCTGACCATCAGCAGCCTTGCAGTCCTGACCCGTCTCTGTGGCACAACATCCCCATCTAGTGGCTGTGGGGAGAATTCAGTTCACCTCCGCCGCGTTTTTTCCCCTACGCTGAGACTAGATGGCAGTTACACTAGATTAACCAGGCAGGATTTGTAAACTACCATTTCAAAAAGGAGGACCTGGATTTCACTTATGCACCGAGTTCTTGCTGTGTGCTGATTGGTCAGTGTCCAGTCCCACGTGTCACTAATGTTAATGTGAAACAACTGGATGGCTCTTTCAATCAGGGAAACAAACCAGTAAAAGCAGAAGAAGATCTGAACTATTTAGCCAAGGACAGGAGCCGTTCAGTTTTAAAGTAGTTTGTAAAATCCGAAGTAGCTCGAGGTGTCCTACCTGACATGCATTATCTGGACACCCTAAATTGCATTCATACGGACCTGTGTCCTGTGCTGCTATTTGTACAACTGAGCAACCGTAATCCATACTCGAGGAGTTGAGTCTTCATACTCGTACTAATCCTAGTCCTAACCCTAATTTAACCCGTGTCAGCAACAGTAACGCCTTGTCAGCAAGCACTGTTTTGTTTTCGAGTTACATATTTATTTGTGTTTTATTGTTAAAATGGGCTTACTGTAATTACTAAAATAAAAGTCCCTGGATTAAAAAGTATTATTTTGTAAATACGAATTCCTACAGGTAGAACTTCGTAACTGTGACGTCAGCACTTGTGTTGTTCATTAACGTAGGATTATACAGGACCCTTTAAGTCCTTTACTCTTTCAGTCATTTTCAACGGTACATGTGAGACATGACTGTATTCTTTTAAATTATACATAATGTTCTCTTTTAATGGATTGTGTTTTTGCGTGTAAACAGTCCAGGAGTTCTGGGGTGGCCGATAGCGGAATAAAAGACCCCTCACTTCTCTCTCTCCTGTTTACTGTCTTGTTCTAACGTCGTGTATTTATTGTTGTTTTTATGCGTCTTCATCTGCCGAAAACCTAATATCACTGTTATACAGTGACAGTAAAGGAACTATCTAATCTTATGATTTAGGTTAGCATTGCTGAAGCTGGCCAATATTCTTTCACAACGAGGCAATGCTCCCTCCAGCCTTTAAGATTTCTGCTGCTGGCATTCACCATTTCAGATTAAAGGAACGGCAGGACACTAGAGCGCCACTCTCCCAGTCCGCACGGGGGCGCCATCGGAAAATCCCTGGCTTTGTACGGCAGGTCCGCGCTTTGGTCGCCTCTTGTCAAGTGCCTTTTCCCGGAAGTGAAGCTGTGCGCTTTTGGCTCGGGACGCCGCAGCTGTGGACGGGGAGCCGCAATGGACCGTCTATCGTCGTTTGGAAGTGTGTCCAATTTTAAACTCCCCTTTGATCCATTTTTAACGTGTACGCGAAGTCACCCTCGGTGGGCTGCGGTGCCTCGTGATTACCTGGCCCGTGTTCTGGAGCACGATGGTGCCGGTGTTATGCCGAAAAACGCACCCCTGCCTTAGAATGCATGTCGGTGTTCCGACGAGTTGAGCTTTTAAGGGTTTTTTTGGGGTCAGGGGTTTTTTAGGGGTTAGGGTTTTAGGGGTGTTTTAGGGGTTAGGGTTTTAGAGGTTTTTTGGGGGTTAGGGTTAGAATTTTACAGATTTTGGGGGGCTATTGATTAGCACTACGGTAGCCTTACTCGACAAAGTAGCTCAACTCGTTTCAGATCAGCGACCAATCGGTCATTTAGAGACAGGCATGCATTCTACGGCAGGGATGCCTTTTTCGGCATAACACCTGTCTCATTTACCTGCGTCGCTGGCCGGTGTTATGACGAGTTTTGCATACCTACCGAGAACTGACCGCACCTGGCGAAGAAAACTTAGCAGCTATAAAACCTCACTTGCCGAATAGTGCACTCCGAGTTAATTTCCTTTTTAAGTAGTTTAGAATGAAATTGAATTACCAGCATGTGTTTTCGGCAGTTTTGGCTAAACAGTGTAAATTACAGATATGCTACAGTCATCCTGGCAGAAAAGGCAGCTGTGAAATCGGGATTAGCGAGTAGTGCATCCCCCAGAATGATTGTCATTATTGTTTTTCATTGACCTTAGGATGAAGTGGTGCCACCACTGCCACCAGCACATATTTGGGGGTCTTTTGGCTTAGCTATCATCAGCTCTGCAACTGAAGACGTCCCCATTAACGTTTCTTTTAAGAGACATTCGATTTCTAATGCTGTCTTGGTATTTTTGCTTGAATCACGTGATGTATTACTTGACCGCTATAATCAGTAGTTTATCCGACGAAAAACAATGCTTTGCGAGGTGCATGCAGAATTCGGCATAACCCCGCCACACCAGCAAGGCACCACTTAGGTACCCTGAGCAAGGTACCGCCCCCAAGCACTGCTCCCCAGGCGCTGAATTAGCTGACCATTGCTATGTTACGATGTCACATATGGGTTAAATGCAGAGGACACATTTCGTGTTTGTGTGCTGTGGTGTGTCAGCATTGACCACTGATCTCTGAATTACAATTAATGAAATTTCTGCGCCCCCATTGAGGTCCTAGTTTAATCGGGGAAGTTGGTGTTAAAAACAACCTGTATGGTGCAACATCTGATACCCTCCTTTGTCTTCACGTGTTGCTTTTCCATAAGATTTGGCTTTGTGCTTTAATAGTAATTGTAATTGTAGATGACCCGTTTGATAAACCCCCGTGCCGGGGCTGCTCGACTTACCTGGTAGAGCCGTACATCAAGTGCGCCGAATGCGGGCCATCAGCGTTCTTCTTGTGCCTTCAGGTAAGAAAGTATTAAAAAGTACTGTAACCCATCGTAACACTGGATCTGTATCTTTGCTTGTCCATGGACCAAGTGAACTAACTGGACCCCTGTTTTAATCATTTAGTGTTTCACGCGGGGCTTTGAGTATAGGAAGCACCAGAGCGACCACAAATATGAAATTATGGTACGTACGGCAATCGTCGTAAATGTGTTTTCTATTAGAAAGTCATAGTAGTGATGTAGTGTGATTAAACGCTTGGTGGCCCTGCGGCCCCAGTGGGCTGTCCGCTTGCCTTAGGGGCCACAATTTAAATATAAAATCCCCGCTTCCACACATGAGCCAGTTTGCCTCCGCAGACATCAGACTTCCCTGTGCTGGAGCCTGGCTGGACAGCCCAGGAGGAAATGGCTCTGTTGGAGGCTGTGATGGACTGCGGCTTTGGGAACTGGTCAGTGGCTCTCCGTACCCCCACATAACATGTTTTAGGGACCTGTATGTTGTGGGATGGAGCAGATATAAGCATAGTAATTGTGGATGAAATTTACATTTTGGTATAACACAGTATAACCCAATTATAAGCTTCATATATGCTTTGCAGCCCAATTATAATATGTTATAATATATTTTATAACTATAGTCAATAATTACTTGGTTGGAGTGTTCATGGTGCTGTAAGCTTCTCTCTGGGGCTGCGCTGCCCTGCCCCATGCCCTGCCCCCCCCCAGGCAGGACGTGGCGTACCAGATGCGCTCGAGGACCAAGGAAGAATGTGAGACTCACTATATGAAGAACTTCATCAACAATCCGCTGTTCTCCTCCACCCTGCTGAGCCTGCGGCAGATGGAGGCCAATCGCACCGCGGACACTGCCATCCCATTCCGCCGTGAGGACACGCCCACCCCACCCCCACCCACCCACCCCAGCGCACTCACCTGATATACACACACTTCAGTTTGTTACAATTGTGATGTCAGTGATTTAGGGAAGTGCAAGTTCGCGTTTTGCATAATGAGTTTGTGTTAATAGCTTTACTACAGAAGGATGTTGTATCCTGAAAGGTGATTGTCACCTGTGACTCCATCACATGACGGACGAATTACGCTGAGCATCTGTGACGTGTATTATTGTCAGGTCGTTTAAGTTGTGGTGGATTCCTCAGTTTAGTCTTTAATGACACATGGGTGTCTGATGGCTTTCTCAGCCACTGACGACCCCCCCAGACCAACATTTGACTCCCTGCTGTCCCGGGACATGGCTGGCTACATGCCAGCACGGGCAGACTTCATGGAGGTAGGTTCCGCTGGGGTCCGGGGGGGGGTGGGGTGTTAGGAGATGTCAGCCCCTCAACTGCTACGCCATCTGCTGGCCATCTGTGTCTGGCTTTCTTTTATTTCACACTCTCCCTGGTCTCCTAGGAGTTTGACAACTACGCTGAATGGGACTTGAAGGACGTCGATTTTGTCGATGACGACTCTGACATTCTGCAATGTGAGCCTGTTCGTAAAGGTACCTTTGTGACTCCGATTTGGTGAGACCTGCATGCACTGACTGTCGCTCTCCTGCTCCCTCTAGCTTTGAAGATCGCCGTTGTTGACATTTACCATTCCCGATTAAAGGAACGGCAACGCAGAAAGAAGTGAGTTTGGATTTTTATTTGGTTTGGTCGGAGATCTGCATTAATGGTGCTTGTCCACTAGGAGGTGCTGGAGGGCCGTTTTGGTTTACGTGTTGCTTGTATTGCACATAAAATGCGTTGAGGCAGCGGGTTGGGCATACAAATGAGTATGGTAATTATAATTGCTGGAAATTGCTCTGTGAAATCAGTGCTGACAGCCGTTGCCGGATGCTGTCCGCCTTTTGTTGCACATTAGGCGATCATCGCTTCAGATGTAAATGACGAGGTGCCACTGTTTAAACCCTCCTTGGGGAGGTTTGGGGGTCTGTCCACCGGTGAGCCCCACAGGGCGTACATGGTGGGAGGACCCTTGTTAGTGAGCGGGAGGAGCAGCGCACTCCCAGCCTGGGGGCAAGGGCTGGTGTGGACCGTATAGTGGGCTTGTGGCCCTGTGGTTCCTTCAAGGAGAAGATAGGGGGCGTAGTGGTCAAGGAGCTAGGCGAAGGCTTTAGGAGCTCATTTCTGGAGAGCTCCTGCTTTGTAGGCTGAAGCGTTCACTTAGTGTTCTGAGTTACTGTATGGCAGTTTTACGTAAGAGTATTAAGGAGATCCATGGCTGCTGTATGTTTTCTAGGATCATCCGGGATCACGGCCTGATCAACCTGAGGAAGTTCCAGAGTAAGTGTGCGTGAGAAGCACGTCAGCTGGTCACTGTCGCTCTGAGGCCACGCCCCCTCCCCCGCGATGGCTGCCCCAGCTACACGCAGCCGCCTGCGGACGCATCCGCCCGCCCGCCCTTCCATGAATAGATGACCTTGAATCTGACACTGCCGGTTCACAGCACGGCAGCGGCGGCGCTTTTGTGGCCAGTTATCTATCTGCCCCATGGGGGGCTATCAGGCACGGTAATGTAAGCTCGTTCCAGGCCCCCCCCACGCCGGGCTGAGACTGAGATGGGGGGAGGTTATCAGATTGACTCCCTTCTGACTGCTTGTCCATGTACAGTCCAGCAACAATCTGTGTTTTTTTTTTAGATGTGTGTGTGTGTGTGTGTGTGTGTGGGGGGGGGGGGCAGTTTAATGTCGATCCCACTTATCTGACAATGGCCCCTCAGTGCAACCGCTGTATCTTCATGGTGCTGTGGCCACATCGCCATGGAGACGGCCGGTCTGTGCACACAGTGCATCCTGCGATAATGGAGATTCAGTCCGAGAGGAGGGATGGCAGGAGCGAGTGTGACCCCCCCCTCTCATTCTCTCTCTGTCTCTCTCTCCCGCCCCCCCCCGTCTTAGTCCTGGAGCGCCGGTACCCCAGGGAGGTGCAGGACCTGCATGAGGCCATGAGGCGTTTTGCCAGAGTGGTGGGGCCCACGGAACATGACAAGCTCATCGAGAGCCACGCCCGTGAGTATCCTTCACATGCGGCTCGCCGCCTCTCCCTGAGAGTCATCCCCAGCCCCCCGGGATCAGAGTAACGCCGATCCTCTGGTCCATCCTGCTTCGCTTTCGAGTTTCAGCTGGAGCAGCCGGGCCCCGTTCCCTCTTGCCTCGTTTCCACCAATGCGGTGCCGGTGCTTGACCTTTTCCCAATCCAGAACTAGTTTTTCAACTAGATTCCACTGCAAAAAACTAACCCTGGGCCAGAAAAAACAGCTCCAGCACGGCACCACAGAAAAGCTGGGCTCAGAATTTGGCACCGTAATGTCCGTGTAAGTGGGCTGTGGCTGTGGTCCAAACCTTCTGCATACCCGGATAATTCAATCCATAACTGATATAGTTTAGCCTCAAATCGACTGTGCCAGCAGGGAAACAACTTTCCAGTTTAGTGGAATAATGTTACATGATTTTTATTTTGTGAAAAATTAAACCTGTCTGCTGGCCAGATTTAATACTATAGTATAAATATGTTTCAGGTCGAATAAATAAAATATTGTGGCGTTTCAGTGGCTAAGAGATTATGAGGCGGACAGCAAAGTTCAGTTATTAGCGGACTGTTTTATTGCACGATCCTTCAAAGGACAGCAGTAACACAGCAAGCGAGAATAAACTCACTTGCACACACACACATGTGTATAGAGCCAAAAGTGGATACAGGCAGTAGCAACGAGTCATATTCTGAAAATTTTTTGGTTCGGCACCTTATAAAAACTTAAAATCCAAACCAGATCAAAATAAATCCCAAACAAGAAATGCAGATTAACCTTTACTTTACTTTCAATTCTGTCTACATAACAATTCCTCTCTGTTCTTTTTTGAAGCTGGTGTAAACACGGCCCGGTTCTCAAAAGGCACCAAGCAAAATCCAGCCCAGCACCAGCTCCGTGTTGGTGGAAACCAGGCATCTGACAGATCTTGTTCTTTTCTTTCCCAGTGGAGTTTGAGCTGCGGCGGGAGATCAAGAAGCTGCAGGAATACCGGAAGGCCGGCATCCAGTCCTTCTGCAGTGAGTCCAGCCTTCACATCCCCCCTGACTGGTTCCTAGCCAGTAGCCACTGTGAATAGTTGATTGTAATTGGGCCTCCATGGGGTGGGTGTGGTCTGACTACATGCCCCACCCACCTGCAGGTGCTAAGGTGTACGAGCGTGTGAAGCGGGTGCGGGAGGACGAGCGCCGGAAGCGGACTATGCTGACGGACGTGCTGCAGTACATCCAGGACAGCCGCGCCTGCCAACAGTGGCTACATAAGCAGGCGGCCATGTCAGTGCCCCCCCGCTGCCCTCCCACAATGCACCGCTCTTGTCCTTAGGCCTAAACTAAAGCTAACCTAGCTTAAGCTAGCTGGTCTGGTATGGCTGACGGTCCAGCTGATGTTTCTCTTGTACAGAGATGCCGGGATCAGCCCAGTGGTCACCACCATCACCACCTCAGGTGAGGCATTCTGGGTAATGCCCAGAGTCACTGACATGCTTAGTTGTTTGCTGGGCTTCCCTTACTTATTCTTTTGCCCCTTTTCTTCCATGGAGCCGTCCTCAGCCCCCAGGGCACAGGTACAGATTGCTAGTATGGCGGTAAATGTGAAGCGTGTCCCAAAAGATCCCCCGAGCCGGATCGATTTACACTCGGTGCAGAATGACTAACAAGCAGTGTGTGTAGGTATCGTTACCTGCCACCACTATCATTGTTCACCCACAGCGTCGGGCCGCAGGAGCGCCCCCCCACTCAACCTGACCGGGCTGCCTGGCACTGACAAGCTCAACGACAGAGAGAAGGAGGTACGGCGGGGTTGGGGGGAGGGGAGGGTATGTTTAGTGGAGTGTCTCATGGAAACTGCTGCCATCTTGGTCTGTTTGGAGCTGCTCGCTGATCGGCCAGCGCCCCCCCCCCCCCCCCCGTGTCATAACGTGGCTTCCCTCCGTTTCCGGGGGCCGCAGTTGTGCCAGGTGGTACGGCTGGTCCCGGGCGCCTACCTGGAGTACAAGCAGGCCCTGCTGAACGAGTGCCGACGGCAAGGCGGCCTACGGCTGGCCCAGGCACGAGCCCTCATCAAGATCGACGTCAACAAGACGCGCAAGATCTACGACTTCCTCATCAAGGAGGGCTGCATCAACAAGACCTAGGCACTACAGCACACACACCTGCAGGGGGCGCTCTGTGCTCTCTGGAGGAAAGAACTCGCATCAGGAGGAAACCCTCAGCCAACGATATCCAGGTCTGGAATAGTCCACCTTTTTGGGGGGTGGGGCGGGCCATCACCTTGTTTATTGCCCCCCCCCCCCACACACACACACACACACACACACACACACAATGAGGCATAGACTGCTCCAGCCTCACCCTGCGTCTGATCACTGCGACTCCATCGATGAAGGGACAGTCTCATTCAAGATCAGCGGATATAAAGTGTGAGCAGATGTCAGCTTCTGCGGCTCTGACCGGCTGCCTGTCTGTCTGTGCAGGTTAATAACACTGTGTGAGGAAACTGCTCCATTTAGAGGGAGTGCTGTGCTGGGGTAGGACTGAAGATGTCAGTGTTTCTGTCACTGTGGTCCCTGTCCCGTCTCCCTGTCCCGTCTCCCTGTCCCGTCTCCCTGTCCCGTCTCCCTGTCCCGTCTCCCTGTCCCGTCTCCCTGTCCCATTTATAATCATAGATTGGATGTTATGCAAGTGCCGTTTTCATCACAAATGCCCCTCCACCCTGAAATTCGAGCCGATTATCATCATTATTACATGTCTGTGTTTTCCCCATGTGTTCTGAATAACCTCCCTAAATGCATAGTAATCCCGGGAGAGGTGGGGGGGGGGGGGCATGATGTATCCAATGAGGAATTTGTCTGTCACATGACAGCTGGCCACATCCACCATACAGGGTTACTCCTTGGGTAAACCGACATTCCCGGGCATGACTTCACCAAAATGGCATTAGTTGTGTTGATGCTACTTCATGTTTGAGGTATGATGTTTTAGTAAACTGTCAGATTATATATTTAGTTTTGATCTGTTCATTCCTCTGTCACCAACCCCCCCATGCCCGACAGAGGTGCGTAACGGGGGTCACTGCTTTGTAAATTAAACCTGCTCTCTCAGGCAGCCTGTGCACTCGGCTGCTGCACAGTGTGGGACGTCTGAAAACTCTCCTGTCGGCTCTGCGACCCAAATATTGTTCCTCAGATGTACGTTTCTGTTTTTATAAACTGCAGCACTGCAGAGTGCACACCCCGGTAACGCAGGATGATCTATTTATGGATCTCTGTACCCTGGCTGCCCTTGGAAAGACCTGACATCAGAGTCCAACATTTTCGAGGTCTCAGAGGTGTTTAATCAGGCATTTTAGGGGGCGACTCCTGCTTTTATCACTATTTACTTTTCCTGGCATTTTGTGCTTCTGTGTTTGCTGAACTTGAGCATGCTGACGTCTGTTTACACTCAGGTGACTTTGTGTTGTTTGGAAGTCAGTCATGGAGAATCCCTTCACCTGTCACCTGCCCCAGGCTGCTCCATCCTCTCATTTGTGTCCACTTTTAAATTACCATGAGGCACTGTGTCAGCATCCAGAAGGTCATGGGTTCAAATCCTGTGACCAGCAGAGTAATCATGCCCCTCTTAGATGCTTGAGCAAGGCCCTTACCCTCAGCTGCTCCAGGGACTCTGGCTCAGCCCACACTGACCCCCAGCTTTCCTCACTTGTACATTGCTCTGTACAAAAGCGCCTACTTAATAAATGTAATTGTAATTAACAAATGTAATTGTTTGCAAGTGTGACCCTGTGCTCTATGTGGTTGGTGTATGTGTGGAGAAATATGCTTCTCATCATGAGTAAAGTAAGGTAAACAAAGCAAGTAAATAACCGGGATGTTAAACTTCTACGTTTCATGGCTGTTTGCTGTTCATGGGGGGGCGGTTTTATGGCAAACACACACACTCCTGTCTGCCCGCAGTGTTTTGGACGCCTGACTGATCTGAGTACAGTTTAAAAGCATGACCAGTTGTGCCGTCTCCATGCGTTCCTGGTTACCTCGTTACCCACGCTGGCCAGCAGAGAGGCTCACCAGAAACCGCCACTCAGCCCCGGTGGGACGGTGAGCCCAGAGAGGGAGGGAGACAGACAGACAGACAGACAGACAGAGAGGGAGACAGACAGACAGACAGAGAGGGAGACAGACAGACAGACAGAGAGGGAGACAGACAGACAGACA